AGTACACGGTGTGTCCAGGATCCGTTAGGAATATTTTTTTAAATTCTGCCCTGCAATGTCATCTGTTAGCGAGTTGTGGCGTTAAGATTCGTGAAGTTTCAGCTGTGGCTGTCTATAATTTCAAAGCGCAAGCATCGCTGAATCATGTATTCTGACCTTGAATGTAACAGTACTGTTCTGATGCTCGTCGGAAAATGGCGGTTGAACAGAGAGCCAACATCAAATTTTGTTTGAAGTTAGGCAAAACAGCCGGAGAAGCGTACGAAATGATGAAAAGTGTGTACGGTAGAGATTGTTTAAGTCGCGCGAACACTTTTCGATTGTATGCTGTATTTCATAACGGCAGGGAGGACATGGAAGACGCTCCACGTGCATCAAAGCCGAGACAAGTCGCACTGAATAAAATGTGGGAAAAGTGACCGAAATCCTGCATCAGACAGATGTGTTTCTGCAAGACTCACCGAGGAGCTTTTGGGAATACCAAAAAGTACTGCGCATCAAATTTTGACCGAGGATTTGGGCAAACGGAAGGTTTGTGCTCGGTTTGTACCGCACGCGCTGTCAGGCGATGAAAAATATGCCAGAGTGGAACACTGCAAATATATATTACGGTCGGCCCAAAGTGATACAAAATTTACAACATCGACTGTTACTGGTGACGAGACATGGTGTTTTCAATACGAGCCTCTCACACAAAGCGGCAGAGTGCAGCGTGGGTGAGCCCAAATAAAGCCGAAACCAAAGAAAGTGCGCATGCAAAAGAGTCGAGTAAAGACAGTGTTAACCGTTTTATTAGATTCTAAAGGAATCATTCACAAGGAATTTCTGCAAAGAAGGTCAAACAGTGAATTCTGATTATCATCTCGGAGTCCTCAATCGATTTTTGGCGAGAATTCTTCGAATTCGATCTGAATATCGAGAGCAAGGTTCCTGGTCGCTCTTCCACGATAATGCTCCACCCCACAAATCGAAGATCGTGCGCGATTTTTTTGGCAAGAAAAGGGATCACAGTCCTTGGTCATCCTCCGTATTCGCCAGATTTGGCTTCAGCAGATTTCTGGCTGTTTTCAAATTAAGTTGGCGATGAAAGGAGACCATCACGACACTATCCAGGGCATCCAAATGTAATCTACCGTAGTTTTAAATGCGATTCCACAAAAGTAGTACAGTGACTGTTTTCGAAAACTTTTCAATCGATTCCAGGTACGTATTGATTCAGGAGACTATTTTGAATAAAAAGAGTGAAAATTTAAAATTAATTCGCGTCTTGTATTTTTAATGAACACAGTCCTAACATAACCTGGGTACTCTGTGTATGTTACCTACCAACGACTAGTGTAAGCAGATGTTGAAGGCTTTATTTACATATTATAATTACCGCAATCTTGAGAATGGAAGAACTAATTGTAGTTACGACTTATGCATTTCCAATAAATCGATTCGCCAATCCAAACCCGGGTTTATTATTCACTGATACAAGTGACAATATTGTTATTTCATTACTTTGGTTACATCATTCCATTCTATATTAAACTTGTAAACACGAGAATATTTGAGAATATTACTTCGTTAGCTTACTTTTCTTTTTTTACTTCTTTGGGTGGGGTAAGACAGAGTCCACTTCGTACGTCGGCCATTAATTGGCCTATTATACCAGCCCCAGATAACAGATGATGAGTGTGAAGCAGTCGAAGGAATAAGAATTGGCAACAGAAATCGAAGTACTCGCAGAAAACCTGCCCCAGTGCCACACTGTCCACAACAAATCCCACATTACCTGACCTGGGATCAAATCCGGGCCGCTGCAGTGGGAAGCGGGCGACCAACCGCCTGAGCTATGGCAAGGCCTATTACTTTGGTTACATTATCCAATTCGATATTAAAGCTGTAAACATGAGTTATTTGAAATTCATACGGTTCGTCAGTTCTGCAATTATTTTACTGCTTTTGACATATTATTAAATTCAATATTTACCTTGTTAACAAGAGTGTTCAGATTCTTGAGTTTCATCATATTGCTTCAATTAATAATGTGGAAACATTGTAATATATAGAGTGTCCCAGGAGGAATGTGCCAAACTTCGGGAGGGTGTTCCTTATGTTAAAGTATGCCGATATAACCCAAAATACCTATGTCCAAAGTTGAACGGTTACGGAGATAATGGCCAGAGAAGTGTGAAACTTTGACCGGTGTTACACACTTGTTGATTACAAAATACATATTAAAACTGGCAGGAATATGTGGATTCTGTAATGTTAATAATGTACGTAACATCAAACTAACTTGTGAGTGACATGAAGCCATAAAATTGAAGTACAAAATACTCGCTCGCCATGTCATAATTGTCCTTAGGTTTCCAAGCACTATACATGACACATGCCTGGCAAGCGCTGACGTAACATGGCTGACTGCGCTATAAGCCGACCACATAACTGTATTAAACGTACATTCACGGAAAATCTCTTTTGGAATTTCGTTTCCATTATCTCATGTGGATTATTATGGGACCACGTATGCACATTTCGTAAATTATTTACACCGTCCAGGGTAAAAGACGCCTAATCACTGAATAAAATGACGCTTAACAGTTCGTGATGAGCTTTTATCCAGTGGCACAAATCCATACGCTGTGCATGGTCGCCTGGTTCCAGATGTTGTACCTTTTGATCATGGTAAGGATACAACTCTTCATCATGTAAAGTTCGCCACACCTGCATACGTGATCGCCGATGCGACAGGCCATTCTACGAGTGGACAGACGCGGACTTCTCTGAAGCATCTCAAGAACGTTCTCTCGTGTGTTTATCATTCGTACTTCCTCCCTTTCAGAGTGCACAGAAACACTCGGAAGAGAACCAGTATCATACAATGTCTGGTGAATAAGCGTAAACACACTTCGACATGGAATCCTTCGATCGGGAAAACGCCTTTGGTACTCTTCAACAGCAGCACGTGCATTGCCACCGCAAAATCCACACACAAAATGCATATCACAATATTCCACGTGTGAAAACACAAAAGGCATTTCAGCAACTCCGCACAATTAACCTACCACCCATTCACGACCAGGCCGCAACGTATACTGAAGGGAGCTTACGTCTGGTGTGAATCACCACACTCAAGGACAAACATAGATAAGACGTCTCAGCTGACAGGTATAGTGCGTGGACCCGCCAGAAGACCACACTTTTCCGGGCCATTATCTCCGTAACCGTTCAACTTTGGACATAGGTGTTTTGGGTTATATCGGCATACTGTAACATAAGGAACACCCTCCCGAAGTTTGGCACATTCCTACTGGGACACCCTGTATATGTAATTCATAACATATTAAAGTAACTAAAAATGTTTTATGCTAAAGTGCAAGTTGTGAAACAAGTTAGGAGGCTGAATACAGATATCTCTCATGGAAACAGACTTTCCATTCAAGTGTACTCAACTTCGGTTTTCCTAAGGACTTGTGAATACGTCTTCTATATATGTTAAGATCACAATGTCCAGTGCATTTCAGTAAGGGATTGATGCAAATGAAATGTGCACTGCTGAGAAACTTTATTCTGATATATGAAGTGATATTAATTTGACGCAGTTCTAAAAAACGAAGTACGGACCGCTGCAATACAGGAGAAAAGGGTGGCATAATTATTCGTGGTTCTGTGAATTCAGGGTTCGAAAGGCGTAGTAGTGTGGATAGTAGCTAACCTTTCTACCGATTGAGCTCTCGCCACTGGCTGCGACAATTTTTGCATCGATAGCCTCAACGCTTGCAAGTAGGTGAAGCAGATGGCACCATAATGAAATTGTAATGTCACGGAGGCTACAATGTCAGGCAGTAACATTGTGTTTCCAGGCTGCTTAAGGATACATGCTACCTGGTTCATGTTAAAGACATAAGCTGCGCTTTAGAATGCACACACTGCGGTTTTCGCAGACTGTAGTCCTTACAAGCTTAGTCTTTACGCTGCAAACTGCCTTATGCTACATACTATTCCTTAAGGATTAACGCAGCGTGGAGGGGACTCTCAATGGAAGCACCCCTATAAAATGTTGTTTCGTCTGCAGAAGTGATGGAAAAGTTATCCCTGAGATTAATTAATTAAGCACCACATCATGAAGACGTATGGAGAAGTGGAGGTATAGCTGCACCATTATCAACCTCGACACTGGATGGAGGTAAATGGTCAGCTTCACGCCCCCGCAGCTTTAACCATGAGGAGCAGTTGTTTATATTGCACAAATTATATACGTGATGAAGATGACGAAATTATATGGTGAAGAGAACGGATTTGAAATAAATGACATTCTGGATGTGAACAGCAGAAACTACGAGGAGCGTTCCGCATATAATGCCTATTTTTTAATGAAAACTTCAACAGATACAGAAAGCATAATAACACAGTTAAAAAGAGCAAGATTTCAGCTACTTACAGTTATTTTTCCACACAATCACCACCATTCGTTACGCACTTTTGCCAGCGATAAACAAGAGTCTGTATGCGGTGCTCGTAAAAGTTGCGCCAGCAGAGGCAAGCCACTTTCTTACATCTCCAATGACAGCATCATTGTCTGGAAAATGTTGCCCATCTTTCATAGGCCCAAAGAGATGGAAGTCTGAAGGTGCTAAATCGGGGCTATAAGGTGGGTGTGGTAGGACAGTCCAGCCAAACTTTGCAATATGCGCGGTGGTCGCCAAACTGGTATGCGGTCTAGCGTTATTGTGTTGCAAGCGAAAGGTTGTCTGCTTCTCTGGCCTGACTCTGGAAATTCGGGCTTTCAGCTTAGTCAGCGTCGTCTTCTAGCGTTCAGAATTGACAGTCTCACCAGACTCCAGGAAATCCAACAAAATCACACCCCGCCTATCCCAAAAGACCGTGCACATCACTTTCCCTGTCGATGGCTGTGTCTTGAAGTTATTTTTTCTTGGGGAATCAGGATGTCGCCTCTCCATGGTCTGTCTTTTGGATTCCGGCTCGTAGGGGGGACACCACGTCTCATCTCCGGTGACGACGCTGTTCAGAAACTTGTCACCTTCAGCCTCACACTGGCTCAACAGGTCCTGACAAACTTCCATTCGATGAGTTTTGTAGTCCTGTGTAAGCATCCTCGGGACCCACCTGGAACAAACTTTGCGATAATCCAGCTTCCCCAACATCGTTTCCACTGCATTTCAGCCGATATTAAGCCGTGCACACAGTACCCTGGTCGTTATCCGCCGATCTGTACGGATGAGCTGATCGATGCGCTGTTCATTGCGAGGAGTGGCAGCTGAGCAGGGACGCCCGGGGCGTGGTTTGTCGCGCACTTCACTTTCGCCAATGTTGAAACACACTAACCACCGCCTCAAAGTGCTGACATTCACTGTATCGTCTCCGTACACCTTTAGCAAGCGTCGATGGATGTCAATGGGTGAAATTTGTTCGGCAGTGAGAAATTCAATAACACATATCTGCTTCGTACGCACTTGTATGTCAGACGCCATTTTGGTAGACTGCTCTGCTGTCGCTATCTGTCGCATGACAACCAAACTAACAGTACATTGACTGGAAGGTTCAACCTTTACTACAACACCACCAACATCCAGCTCAGACGTTACAGATTAACACAAAAAATAGGAGACATTATATTGTATATGGAGCGCCCTTCGTATATACGAGAGTCGTATTGAAAGTCATGAGCAACAATTTTTTGTAAAGTATCATGCTTAATTATTGACAACCAAATACACCACCTCAATTTACATACCTTTCTTTATTTTTCTACATAATCGCCACTTCTTTGTACACATTTCTCCCAGCGTTCTAGGAGTTTGAAAATTCCCCTTCTGTAAAATTCCGTTCCAGCCATCCGAAGACACTGACGCACTGCTTTCTGAATTGTTTCCCTTGTCTCAAAACGTTGTCCACGCAGCTGATCCTTCA